AATCGGGGAAGAAACTCGTTTGTTGGCAGATTAATGGGTAGGTTTTGCAATTTTCCCAGTTCCGCACTCCCCCCCCCCGCCCTTCTTCTTTTTTGAAACTACGCCCCTGCACAAGCATGTTGAAATTAATTTAAGTTAGCAAGAGATATAGCCGGCGAACGCGCGCGCGCGCGTGTGTGTGTGTGTGTGTGTGTGTGTGTGTGTGTGTGTGTGTGTGTGTGTGTGTGTGTGTGTGTGTGTGTGTGTGTGTGTGTGTGTGTGTGTGTGTGTGTATGTGTGTGGGTGTGTGGGTGTGGGTGTGTGGGTGGGTGTGGGTGTGTGTGTGTGCGGGAGTGGGTGTGGGTGGGTGGGTGGGTGTGCTTTTTAGTTTCGTCTCGTATTTTATGTCAGAGGGACAACACCAATGTGCGTGGCATCCTGGTTCTTAGTAGCGAGATTCAGAACCCAAAAACAAGGTTCTCAACACTTTTCCGCACCGTTGCGAGTCCTTGTGATAAGCAATGACGTGGACACGCTTGAAGCTTGACCCTTTCGCAGTGTCAACATTCCCTGTTCCTGGGGATGAGATATCTTACCGATCGATCCATCTGACCGATCGTGACCTGCCGTGACCGATCGTGACCTGCCGTGACCGAGCAGCTCCCGCAAACCCGGAAGGCTGCCAGCCTGCGCGGAGTCCTGAGCTGCGGCTGGAGAAACCAACACCAGGCTTTCTGCAGACAGGTTCTACTGCTAGACGCCTGAGGCGGCGGTGCTGCGACACAAAGAAAGCAGTTCTAGCGGCGCCCAGCAAGCCTGGACCCAGCCGTGCAATATTCGAACTTGATCGGCTCGGCGGGCATGTCTTCAGTTCTCCCTCAAAAGACTGGGAAACGAGAGCGCAAAGTGGTAACATTTTGAAATGCACTTTTGAAGAAAATTGATCCAGTCCTCAGCCAGTGTGACCTTTATCATTAAATTAGAAATCACAAGCCCATTCGCTCTGTTGCCGCAGGGCGCAGCCATAACCTTGATAGCAGGGGTTGGGGGACATAGGCTGAAAAGCCCACTGATCGTGAAAACTCCCCCACAAAATCCGTAGAAATCGCCATATTCTATCCCAGTCTAGTCTATCCTCATTTTGATTTTTGAACGGTACGCATTGATTTTGAAAGAATGTCGGAAACATTATTTTAACGACGGTGTTTCTCGCGCTCCCAGTGCCCGCCGCCTACACCAGGCAGATTACATTGGTTTATCAGCGGCGTTGCACGCCGTTCGGCTTCACGGAAGCTGCCTGCGACACCAGCTACAGCCGTCGCCTACACCAGGCAGATTACATCGGTTTATCAGCGGTGTTGCACGCCGTTCGGCTTCACGGAAGCTGCCTGCGACACCAGCTACAGCCGTCGCCTACACCAGGCAGATTACACCGGTTTATCAGCGGTGTTGCACGCCGTTCGGCTTCACGGAAGCTGCTTGCGACACCAGCTACAGCCGTCGCCTACACCAGGCAGATTACACCGGTTTATCAGCGGTGTTGCACGCCGTTCGGCTTCACGGAAGCTGCCTGCGACACCAGCTACAGCCGTCGCTTACACCAGGCAGATTACACCGGTTTATCAGCGGTGTTGCACGCCGTTTGGCTTCACGGAAGCTGCCCGCGACACCAGCTACAGCCGTCGCCTACACCAGGCAGATTACACCGGTTTGTCAGCGGCGGTCAACGCCGTTCGGCTTCACGGAAGCTGCAACACCAGCTACGGCTGTTCTGGTTCCCGAGATTGCGAGCGCGCTGCCGCAGAACTGTTTTGTGCAGTTCGTTTCACCAGCCGATTCTGCAGATGGACGAACAATCTCAGACAAGCATGATATCTATATTTTTGACCTCAAATGGACAAAAACTAGACTAGACTATTGGACAAAAATTAGACACGTTTCCTTTTTACCGTCGCTGCTACAGGGGCCCGACCCATGTAAATTATGTAAATGATGGGAGATGGGCACCCAGGGCTCAGATGAACACGGCGCCGACAACTCGGTGTTGGTGGCGTCTTGCCGAGTTGGGGGCCCGCATTGTCCCCGGAGTATCCATTCGGTGCTAGAGGTACTCTTGCTGACATTCGAGGTCACGGCCCGTAGGGCCGTAACCGTAGGGCCGTGGCCGTGTGGCCGTCGTCAATCCTTAATGTGACCTATAGTAAGCACTATGGACCCCTCAGAGAACATTCAGCCTCCTAGTCAGGCCTTTCTTTGGTCCCGAGAGGCTCTTCAGGACTCTTTTTGGGCCCCTCGAATAAGGTTCCCTGGCCGACTCGGAGCCACTCGTCGGCACAGAGCCCCCTGTTGGTCACCATGTCGCCCTTAATGACACAATGACCCCAGCCAATGTAAACCGCTGACCCCGGCCTTGTTCCTGCTTGGGGAATAGGCCTAGACCGACACGGAGTCGACTGCTCGGTCCTGGTGCCGCCTGAACGACATATTGGTGCTGGGGTCGGGTCCCTCAGTGATTCGTGGAAAACCCATATTGGTGCACAGGGCTGTCTGATTGTCATTTGAGTGTCTGGCCCTGCGGATCGGTCATTGAATACGATCTCCAGCCAGTCCTTCGGACCCTTGATCGTCGTTTGAAGTAGTTGTGGATGAGCAATGGAGTAAATCATCGGATCATTCGCTCGTCTGTGCACTGACTATGGATTCCCATATTGAAACCATTCTGCTAGCACCGTGTATGTAAGCAATGATGGCGTTGACGGAGACAAAAGCCCCTCCATGAAAATTGTGCGTGGTGCATCAGGTCTTATGACCTGTGGCCTAGGTGCTGCTTGCCAGTAGCGTTGTTCACTTCTTGAAGAGGTGCTGTCCGTGCGAAAACAATGAGGCGATTTCCATTGCAGCCCGAAATATATTTTCCCAAATGTGATTATAAACTTTCCTGATTTAAGGCACACACGGGTGATCGGTTGAATGCGACTCATTGGGGTGTTGACGTGGGACCTGCTCCACTGCCTTGACATCTCAAAACGGAGCAAATGGTAGCAAATCCACAGGGTGTGTACTGTTATGCATGAACTTGCTTATATAAATCGTTTACATATCTAGGTGGCATATAACTTCTAAATTAAGGAAGGCCGACGATGTCCTGTTTTGTTGAATAAAACGCTGTACTATGGATACCAGGCAATTTTTGCGGTCAGGGCTTAGCCCATATCACCAGCTTATGGAGTTGCTGCGTCAAAGCCCTTGGAATCCACAAGTACAGATCCGATGGCGGTTGGTGTGTGTGTCTTCAAAGCCGCTCATTCCCTACCATGCCTTAAATTGGTTTAAAACGTGAGCGGTTGTCGGAAGATACAGACTATTTCGCAGAAACTGAACGAGACGATGAGATAAGAATATGATTTTCATATTCTTTGCCACAACGTGATCAGTTGCTGTCCACAATTATCACAATGTACAGATGATTTCGTTGTCCGCTCTAAAAATCGGAACTGTAAATAACCAAATGCTGCTTAAGATGACCGTTCACTGCGAACGACAACATGTGGAAGACGCCCCCACGACCGCTTCCCGTGCCATCTGCTGCTGTGTGTGCATCTGTTGTCAGGACCTGACTCCGACTGAGCCAGGCTGAACCGTTAACACTCAGGTACATACATGACTAATTATACAGAGCGGAGGAAATCCAGAATTCAGCCCGGACGAATAACACCACTTCAACGCGTTTTTGCAACGTCATATATGGTCCGGGTGTCAAATTTACATCGAGTGCTGGAGAGCACATTTGTTTGCTCAAGTTTGAACCTCCCCCCCCCCCCCCTCCCCTTTCCTCCGCTCACCCCATTTGGTTGCCGTTCATGCACCAGTGCGTCTTATATCTCCTTGCATGCAAGTAATTATACAGCGATGCCAAAAGTGGCGTGTATTCATGTGTATGCTTACTTCACTGAACCCTTCACGTTCATGGGCCTGACATCACCCAAAAGCCGTGTGGCGCGCCCATATGATTTAGAATGCTCCAAGCATGCGCATCCTTCAAGGCTGATTAAAAAAGCTGCATGGTAGTATGTGAACACCAGTCATGTCGTGTTAGACGCTGACCAGCCGCAAGTCTGCAATCCTTCAACGGCCTCTTCAGCGACCAAAGGAGAAATGGGCACCCTGCTCAGCATGGCAGCGTCGGTACAAAGCCGCAATGGAAGCGGCCTCGGAGGCAATATCAGGGACAAGGACGGACAGACCGGAGCGGAGGGGGCCATCGCCCCAGCCCACCGCCTCCACCGCCTGGTTCTCATGGCCGCTCAGCGGAATGTTGGCCCTCTAGACGACATGGCCACGCGCCAGTGAGGAACGTCCCTGACGCTTTATGTTTGGCCCCATGGCATCAAGGTTGCAAATGTACATTGACCAATATGTATGCATTGGCAAAAAGCGCCGCCGCAGCAAAATCCACGAGATATAGAAGTGACGAAGGCAATTGGTTTGGTCCTGTTTATCCTCGTCTTTATGAAATTTAGATTTGATGCCAAGTTAGGTCCCTGTCTTACACTGTTATCGTGCAGTGAGCTATTTTACCATTGCGACAACCCATTTTACCGTTTTTCACCCCGAGTTCATTTCATAGCGACACAGCACCTTCTCGCCAACATCTGGATTTGTTTCGGATCGAATTCCTCAGTGCTTTTATATTCATCGAAAACTTGCGTTTCTCATGTTTATTGAGTCGAGGAGGATTGGCATTGATTAAAAACCGTGTTACTAAAAACTACCCTTGATCCTATACAAAGTGCAAACAAATTATTCCTAGTAAAGACTGCACGTCGTGAAAATGTCTTTTTTTCCCTCATTTATTGCATGAGGTTGCAATCTGTAGGCTCAAAAACTGAAGCGGGCCTGGCTGTCTAGGCTGAAGCTTTTGTCATAGCTCAACCAAAACTCAATCGGCCTCCAAGCCTGCTTGTAATCATTAAGTTAGGACCGACAGCCACGAACTCTCGATGCGACAGGCGAAGTGGCATGGTACATATCGTTTATTCACCATTGCACATCACATATTGGTGCATATAACATGGAATTAAGCTCATGAGAAGGACCCAGGAGGTAAATAAATATGCAAACCAACAAGACGTTGCACCACAAATGCTGAAGCTCGATGAGCGGCGAAGTGATTTGTAGATCATCAGTACCTGTTGCCAGCGCAGGAATGAAATCACCCACAGTGCATACTACACAAAAACCAACAGAAGCAACGTTACAGCTCACTGAACAATCAGTTGCTTGTTAAATGCCCAGCATTGGCAAGATCAGTGTTGTGATCCGCCATGCAAAGGCTTGGCCTCTGCCTTAGGAACAGTGCAACACTGATGCCGCTGTGTGGGCCGCTTCACTGACGCGGCCAGGGGTCGTTGATGTGCGGCATCTGGCAGCAGACGCCGTCACCGACGCCGCCGTCCTTGAGCTCGCTGCAGCGGTCGAGTGCTACAGTGGGCTGCAGGGTCGGCTCTTCCGGCTCAAAGCGCAGCCCACCGCGCACGAAGCCCGTGTAGGGGTTGCACATGGCGACGGGTACGCAGACGAGCGAGGCGGAGCAGGTACCCAGCTGATGTCCCAGCGGGCCCGAGCCGCCGAGGCCCGGGTTGGTGTTCAGCAGCAGGATTTGGTTGCCAGCACCAGCCTGGCCGAAGGATCCGCTGCCCGAGGGACGGAAGCCCGTCTGCTGACCTCTTCCTCCGCCGCCAGGTCCCTGGGACTGGAAGCCCTGGCCAGTGACGCCCTTTCCAGCGCCGAACTGGCCTCCGGCTCCAAATCCACCTTGTCCCGGTCTTCCGCCACTGCCTCCCTGGGACTGGAAGCCCTGGCCAGTGACACCCTTTCCAGAGCCGAACTGGCCTCCGGCTCCAAATCCGCCCTGTCCTGGTCTTCCTCCACTAACTCCCTGTGACTGGAAACCCTGGCCAGCAATGCCGTTTCCAGAACTGGCGGGGACACCGGTAGACTGGAAACTGCTCGAAAATGATCCAGATGCTCCCTGTCCCGGTCTTCCGCCACTGCCTCCCTGGGAGTGGAAGCCCTGTCCAGCAATGCCATTTCCAGAGCCAGCCGGGCCCGCACTGGATTGGAAGCCGCCAGAAGATCCAATGTTTCCCTGTCCTGGTCTTCCTCCTGGTCTTCCTCCTGGTCTACCCCCCTGAGAATGGAATCCCTGACCGGCGGTGGCACCTCCAGTAGATCCAAAACCGTTCTGCCCTGGCCGTCCCCCGCTGCTTCCATGAGACTGGAATCCCTGACCAGAAATGCCACCTCCATGACTCGCCTGACCAAATCCAGACTGAGAGCCGCTACCAACGGGTCTCACACCACCCTGTCCTCGCTGTCCTCCCCCACCGACGGCCTGAGCCGGGACGCCCTGCTGATGAGGTCCTGGCCCGCTGGACTGACCGCTCAGGAACACGTTACCCTGATAGCTGGGCTTAGCCCCGGCCGGACGGGCGCCGGACGACCCGGAAACACCGCCTAGCTGTGACGAGCTGAGCTTTCCGGGGCTGCTCAGGAACACGTTGCTGGGTCGTGGGTTGCCCCCCGACGAAAGGGTCTGGCTCGAGAAGCCGCTCTGCTGGGCGGACGGCAGGCCGCCCGTCTGGAGCTGGCTCGTATGAATGCTGCCGTCGGTGCCGTACCCCGGCTGGGACAGACTGGAGGAGGACTGGGAGAACTGCGCCGATCCACCTCCACCCGGCCGTCCACCAGAGCTGACTCCGCCTCCAATCGGCCGTCCACCAGAGCTGACTCCACCTCCAATCGGCCGTCCACCAGAGCCGCCTCCACCTCCAACCACGTGGTGGCCACTTGAGCCGACTCCACCTCCAACCGCGTGGCTACTTGAGCCGACTCCACCTCCAACCGAGTGACTACCTGAGCCGAATCCGCCTCCAATCGGCCGTCCACCAGAGCTGCCTCCACCTCCAATCGGCCGTCCACCAGAGCTGACTCCACCTCCAACCACGTGGTGGCCACTTGAGCCAACTCCACCTCCAACCTCATGGCTACCTGAGCCGACTCCGCCTCCAATCGGCCGTCCACCAGAGCTTACTCCACCTCCAACCACGTGGTGGCCACTTGAGCCGACTCCACCTCCAACCGAGTGGCTACCTGAGCCGACTCCGCCTCCAATCGGACGTCCACCAGAGCTGCCTCCACCTCCAACCACCTGGCCACCTGAGCCGACTCCTCGCCCACCTCCCGTAGTAAGCGTCTGCTGACCCTGGGACGCCTGACCTCCAACACCAAATTCGCTGGTGGGAGTCTCATACAGGCCCGACGGCTGGCTGACCTGAGCGGTCACAGCCGCCAGCACGGCGAGCAAACAGAGAGCCGACTTCATGTTGCCGCCAGTTGAGTGACGGGAGAACTGTGCCTCTGCCGTCCAGCCAGGCGTGTCTTATAGTGGCGGCGGCGCCGAAAGCCGGCCTGGAATTACCCAGCCGGTGCGTTCTGCTTCTCGGAGCAGCCAGCTAGTTCCGTCTCTGGCCCGGCCTGGCCCGGCACGAACAGCGCCCGCCCCCGCCCCTCACCTCGCCCCGACGGCGCGCGGAGACCGGCCGTGGTGCGTCTGGAATGTATTGTACCATCGAATGGTCATCCATTGATGGGTTTAGGCAGCGTCGTCGTTTTGTGTAAATGCATGTGGTGGCCAAATTGGGGACTTGGTAACCTCACTTCACTCTGAGGGTGCGTTCGCAACTAACTTATACCAGTGAATGCGGATGAACGGCAATTGCTCAGTTTATCTGTGAGGCTCAGCCTGAGTGTTCTACTGTTTAGCCGTTAAGTTGTATCATCACTCCGTAATAATCTTAAAGTTGTTGGCTCGATATTGTTCCGGCGGGAAGCGCGTACCTGCCTAGAGTTGTATGTCATTTGCTCCGATGTATGTAGGTAGAATGCCGATGTGATGCTTGTATTTTGATGTTTTTGGGTCATAACCCTAAGATCAAAGACAAGCACAAAAATGTCTTAATTCAAGCGGTCCGAGTTCTCCCGGTTTGAAAAGTATGTTTCTTAAGTCCAAACCTTCACATCCTTTTTGAAAAAATGGCATGAGGCCACCTTTTAGGTATGTTCAATGTATAAAAACTAGTGCGACCATTGATTTCATTAGCGGGCTTACAACATAGAAAAATTCTCCAAAAAGGTGGTTTCAAATCGCAATGAATCCTTAGTACATAACACATTGCCTTTCTCGTCATAACGCGATGCATTGAAACACTGCCATTATGGAAACACAACTACATAATTGGCATCACTCATAGGATTCATACTACAGAGTACTCGTTACCGATAGGGTCCATGCTAAAGCCAAAGACTTTGCAGAACTCTGACAGCATGAGGAAAAATTTAAAGTGCAATGCCAAGAAAACCAGAAGAAGATGTCACATACATACGCATTCTAGTCAATTCGCTCGCCGGTTTTGATCATTCCAAAGGGATTGGACAAACCGAAACAACTCGTTCTCATTCAATTTCTCCTCAGCATTCTAGTTTAGGATAAAGTGCAAATAGAGTGACCAAATTCCTTTCTTAGGATCTTTTCTGGCGTCGATAGGGTAATTTTTGGAATCACATCACCCTGCTTTTCTAGGAGGAATGGGCCTTTTTTGTCAGTTCTATCCCTTGAATGACGGCGGAGCGCGCTGGACAGTAAACGTTGAGCTTGGCGAGCAACCAGCGATCTCAGCTTCCGTGCATCCTGCGAGCGCTGAAGCTGACGTCTGGAGGGAACGAGTCGAGATAATGAACGCGATTCGACCAGTCACCACACTTTTCTCAGGCCTGACGTATGGGCTCGACTACAGCAGTAGTCGAGAAAGAACTGCACTAAATTTTAGTATATTAACAACTCGGCTACAGCAGTACTTAAGTGAGAAAGAACAGCATGCTGAAATGAAAAAGCAATGGGCACGCCTGCCTCGCCTTACAGCGAAGGGCAGGTGAGGTGGATTGAAAGTACATCGCCGCATGGGTTTGGTTCCCAACGGAAGTGTCCTAACTTTACGCAAACATGCAGAGGAAACCTGTACTGCGGCTGGTTTGTGTCCCGTCCTTGCATGGCTGGCTGAAAGCCGCTGCGGTATTGAGGCATGAAGTAATATTCGTATTTTATTACGACTCGGGCCACCTGAGTGCGCGATGTCTTCGCAGCAAGCGACTGTATCTGATGACTCTGATCCGAAAGTCACTCGAGCAAGCAGTTTCTGCGACTAAATGATTTTGAAAAATGGTTACAAAGGGCACGACTACTGGCGATTGGCACAGACAAAAACTGTTGAATAACCGGCGGTTTGAAACAGCAAATGATGATTAAGGTGGTCTCTTCGGGGTGACTAAAGTTGCATTCCATGTTGGCCATCATTGTTGAATAAAAAGCGTAGAACTGTGACATTCCAAACAAAGCCAGTCTTTCAGAGCAGAGCGGACCCAAACAGCACTCTCAGCCGTACTTCGACTCGAATATTAGACAACGCTAAGTTGTTAAGCAGCATGATGATGTCTGTGGAGGAGAATGAAAATGACCTCATACTCATAATGCGATGACGTGTCACAAAAAAACGTAAATTTTGTTTTGAATTGATCAGTTCTATTGTCAGCCTAAGGCTATTTTCATGTCTCACCATGCATTTCAGTTCAGTATGGTGTGTCGAACGATCATCTCAGTAACAGCACGATTATTCAGCAAATGGTAAAACCTCTCCATTGTAGAACGCACAGCATGGATCGCTGACATCGTTTCCATCCCGTCATTATAAGTTATCATGCATTGTACTCAACAGGCGAAACCCTGAGGGATTTTGTATGAAAACGCAACTGAAATCAAGGGCAAACGGATGTTAAAATAATCATATGTAGTCAGATGAGATCACCTTTAATTGAATTGAATTTGCCCCGCTCCTTATCAACATTTTGGTAAGATTCTGGCCAACAGAAACGCGCCTTTTCACTCCGTGTCAGCTGTAAACGTACTAGATGATTATAAAAGGCGATAAAACGTGCTGAATAGATAGATATATGTCTGTCATTTTTCGGTGATTTTGCGCGAGCTGTGACGCCATGAGCAAGTGGCAGCTTAGCGAATCCTGTGTGAAATTAAGCACGGCTACCGACAGGTGGTCGCGGCTAGCAAAATACCCCAGCATATCCGGGTTAAAGTTAACGCATCAGTTGTCTCCGTATGCTCGGCTGCAGCGCTGTTCTCAAGTTATTCAATTACAAATCTTATTTCTGTACTAGATAGGACGAATGCATAACTTCTTGCATTCTGTAGCACAAAAGGTAAATCGTGTTGGCGTCTTGTATCGCAGGCGCAAGATTGGTTCACAGTCAGCTGACGGCCGTTATATCTGGTAATTGTGCCCACGAACGCCAGATGTGAGCGGCTCGACACATATATATATATATATATATATATATATTGAATTATACTGATATATAATATGCATATATAAATATGTATATATATAATATATATATATATATATATATATATATATATATATATTATATATATGTATATTAGTAGCGAGGCTCTTAGAAGCGAGATTCAGAGGCCAAAAACAAGGTTTTCAGCACTTTTCCGCATTGTTGCGAGTCCTTGTGATAAGCAATGACGTGAACACGCTTGAAGCTTGACCCTTTCGCAGTGTCAACATTCCCTGTTCCTGGGGGTGAGATATTCCACCGATCGATCCATCTGACCGATCGTGACCTGCCGTGACCGAGCAGCTCCCGCAAACCCGGAAGGCTGCCAGCCTGCGCGGAGTCACGAGATGCGGCTGGAGAAACCAACACCAGGCTTTCTGCAGACAGGTTCTACTGCTAGACGCCTGAGGCGGCGGTGCTACGACACAAAGGAAGCAGTTCTAGCGGCGCCCAGCAAGCCTGGCCCCAGCCGTGCAATATTCGAACTTGATCGGCTCGGCGGGCATGTCTTCAGTTCTCCCTCAAAAGACTGGGAAACGAGAGCGCAAAGTGGCAACATTTTGAAATGCACTTTTGAAGAAAATTGATCCAGTCCTCAGACAGGGTGACATTTATGTGTGTATGTGTTAAATTAGAAATCACAAGCCCATTCGCTCTGTTGCCGCAGGCCGCAGCCATAACCTTGATAGTAGGGGCTGGGGGACATAGGCTGAAAAGCCCACTGATCGTGAAAACTCCCCCACAAAATCCGTAGAAATCGCCATATTCTATCCCAGTCTAGCCTATCCCCATTTTGATTGTTGAACGGTACGCATTGATTTTGAAAGAGTGTCGGGAACATTATTTTAACGACGGTGTTTCTCGCGCTCCCAGCGCCCGCCGCCTACACCAGGCAGATTACACCGGTTTATCAGCTGCGGTGAACGCCGTTCGGCTTCACGGAAGCTGCGACACCAGCTACGGTCGTCGCCTACACCAGGCAGATTACACCGGTTTATCAGCGGTGGTCAACGCCGTTCGGCTTCACGGAAGCTGCAACACCAGCTACGGCTGTTCTGGCTCCCGAGATGGCGAACGCGCTGCCGCAGAACTGTTTTGTGCAGTTCGTTTCACCAGCCGATTCTGCAAAAGGACGAACAATCTCAGACAAGCATGAGTTCTATATGTTTGACCTCAAATAAATTCTATTGGACACAAATTAGACACGTTGCCTTTTTACCGTCGCTGCTACAGGGGCCCGACTCATGTAAATCATGTAAATGATGGGAAATGGGCACCCAGGGATCAGATTAACACGGAGCCGACAACTCGGTGTTGGTGGCGTCTTGACGAGGTGGGGGCCCGCATTGTCCCCGGAGTATCCATTCGGTGCTAGAGGTACTCTTACTCACATTCGAGGTCACGGCCCGTAGGGCCGTAACCGTAGGGTCGTGGCCGTGTGGCCGTCGTCAATCCTTAATGTGACCTATAGTAAGCACTATGGACCCCTCAGAGAACATTCAGCCTCCTAGTCAGGCCTTTCTTTGGCGTATGCCAAAAGTGGCGTATACTCATGTGTATGCTTACTTCACTGAACCCTTCACGTTCATGGGCCTGACATCACCCAAAAGCCGTGTGGCGCGCCCATATGATTTAGAATGCTCCAAGCATGCGCATCCTTCAAGGCTGATTAAAAAAGCTGCATGGTAGTATGTGAACACCAGTCATGTCGTGTTAGACGCTGACCAGCCGCAAGTCTGCAATCCTTCAACGGCCTCTTCAGCGACCAAAGGAGAAATGGGCACCCTGCTCAGCATGGCAGCGTCGGTACAAAGCCGCAATGGAAGCGGCCTCGGAGGCAATATCAGGGACAAGGACGGACAGACCGGAGCGGAGGGGGCCATCGCCCCAGCCCACCGCCTCCACCGCCTGGTTCTCACGGCCGCTCAGCGGAATGTTGGCCCTCTAGACGACATGGCCACGCGCCAGTGAGGAACGTCCCTGACGCTTTATGTTTGGCCCCATGGCATCAAGGTTGCAAATGTACATTGACCAATATGCATGCATTGGCAAAAAGCGCAGCCGCAGCAAAATCCACGAGATATAGAAGTGACGAAGGCAATTGGTTTGGTCCTGTTTATCCTCGTCTTCATGAAATTTAGATTTGATGCCAAGTTAGGTCCCTGTCTTACACTGTTATCGTGCAGTGAGCTATTTTACCATTGCGACAACCCATTTTACCGTTTTTCACCCCGAGTTCATTTCATAGCGACACAGCACCTTCTCGCCAACATCTGGATTTGTTTCGGATCGAATTCCTCAGTGCTTTTATATTCATCGAAAACTTGCGTTTCTCATGTTTATTGAGTCGAGGAGGATTGGCATTGATTAAAAACCGTGTTACTAAAAACTACCCTTGATCCTATACCAAGTGCAAACAAATTATTCCTAGTAAAGACTGCACGTCGTGAAAATGTCTTTCTTTTCCCTTATTTATTGCATGAGGTTGCAATCTGTAGGCTCAAAAACTGAAGCGGGCCTGGCTGTGTAGGCTGAAGCTTTTCTCATAGCTCAACCAAAACTCAATCGGCCTCCATGCCTGCTTCTAATCATTAAGCTAGGACCGACAGCCACGAACTCTCGATGCGACAGGCGAAGTGGCATGGTACATATCGTTTATTCACCATTGCACATCACACATTGGTGCATATAACATGGAATTAAGCTCATGAGAAGGACCCAGGAGGTAAACAAATATGCAAACCAACAAGACGTTGCACCACAAATGCTGAAGCTCGATGAGCGGCGAAGTGATTTGTAGATCATCAGTACCTGTTGCCAGCGCAGGAATGAAATCACCCACAGTGCATACTACACAAAAACCAACAGAAGCAACGTTACAGCTCACTGAACAATCAGTTGCTTGTTAAATGCCCAGCATTGGCAAGATCAGTGTTGTGATCCGCCATGCAAAGGCTTGGCCTCTGCCTTAGGAACAGTGCAACACTGATGCCGCTGTGTGGGCCGCTTCACTGACGCGGCCAGGGGTCGTTGATGTGCGGCATCTGGCAGCAGACGCCGTCACCGACGCCGCCGTCCTTGAGCTCGCTGCAGCGGTCGAGTGCTACAGTGGGCTGCAGGGTCGGCTCTTTCGGCTCAAAGCGCAGCCCACCGCGCACGAAGCCCGTGTAGGGGTTGCACATGGCGACGGGTACGCAGACGAGCGAGGCGGAGCAGGTACCCAGCTGATGTCCCAGCGGGCCCGAGCCGCCGAGGCCCGGGTTGGTGTTCAGCAGCAGGATTTGGTTGCCAGCACCAGCCTGGCCGAAGGATCCGCTGCCCGAGGGACGGAAGCTCGTCTGCTGACCTCTTCCTCCGCCGCCAGATCCCGGCGACTGGAAGCCCTGGCCAGTGACGCCCTTTCCAGCGCCGAACTGGCCTCCGGCTCCAAATCCGCCTTGTCCCGGTCTTCCGCCACTGCCTCCCTGGGACTGGAAGCCCTGGCCAGTGACGCCCTTTCCAGCGCCGAACTGGCCTCCGGCTCCAAATCCACCTTGTCCCGGTCTTCCGCCACTGCCTCCCTGGGACTGGAAGCCCTGGCCAGTGACACCCTTTCCAGAGCCGAACTGGCCTCCGGCTCCAAATCCGCCCTGTCCTGGTCTTCCTCCACTAACTCCCTGTGACTGGAAACCCCTGGCCAGCAATGCCGTTTCCAGAACTGGCGGGGACACCGGTAGACTGGAAACTGCTCGAAAATGATCCAGATGCTCCCTGTCCCGGTCCTTCCGCCACTGCCTCCCTGGGAGTGGAAGCCCTGTCCAGCAATGCCATTTCCAGAGCCAGCCGGGCCCGCACTGGATTGGAAGCCGCCAGAAGATCCAATTTCCCTGTCCTGGTCTTCCTCCTGGTCTTCCTCCTGGTCTACCCCCCTGAGAATGGAATCCCTGACCGGCGGTGGCACCTCCAGTAGATCCAAAACCGTTCTGCCCTGGCCGTCCCCCGCTGCTTCCATGAGACTGGAATCCCTGACCAGAAATGCCACCTCCATGACTCGCCTGACCAAATCCAGACTGAGAGCCGCTACCAACGGGTCTCACACCACCCTGTCCTCGCTGTCCTCCCCCACCGACGGCCTGAGCCGGGACGCCCTGCTGATGAGGTCCTGGCCCGCTG